TGGTCTGGTGATTTCATGTACCTTTGCATTGTGGTTCCTGTATTGGCTTTATTTTTCCTCATCCTGGAAATCTCTGGTTGCAATTTCCACCCACCGCCACCATGTGGGGGTTAAGGGTTGTGTAATCTGAGCCCCCTGCACTCTGCCCAGGCTGTTTGCTGTGATCTGCTGGCCGCTTGGTCTGGTCTGGTCGGCTGAGCTGCAGTGTCCAGCATGCGGGGGGTGGGGCTCTTTCTTTTGCCTCCAGGGTCACTGGTGTGGGGGGCTTCTTGCTCTCTCCTCATTATCCACTCTCCTGGGGTGCTCAGATGTTGATGGTAGCCCTGTAGCTGTTCTGAGTCCTCTGTGTGGAAGTTTCCCACTGGCTGAGAGAGCTTGAAGAGCTACAGTTTCCCCGCAGAGGGCCACCCCTCCCCCCTCTCTGGGAGCCACACAGACCGGGATCGCTGATCTGATGGGGAGGGAGAGGAGTTCTCCTTACCTCTCCCCACTTCCTCCAGGGGCCCAGCACATTCCTCTTTCAGATGTGCGGTAGTTTGGATCTTTCCAATCTTGCTTTTTGCTGTCTGGGAGTCCATTGTTGGTCTGTGACTGTTTCTTTTGTTGTATCTTATCAGGGGAGGAGTTTACGGGAAAGCTCACTCCGCCATGACGCTGACGTCACTCTGGACTTGGTCTTTTCTGAAGTTAAAGAAAGTTCTAGAAATGGGTCAATGAAACTTCATGGGAGAAAAATTCAAACCTTGAAGTGGTTGTAGGACACATGGGATGAGAAGAGGTTCCTGGTGTTGATACTACAGAGATGTCCAAGAGGACTAGTCAAGGGTCAACCTGGGGTGATATGGGGGTCAAAAGGGGAGATGCAGCCTTCTCCTTACAGATCATCACCTGACCAAAGACACTTGACCTTCTGCTGAGGATCAGGGCCATCCTCTGGGTGACTTTTACAGAACTCACTGTGGACCTTGACCTGGATGAGATCTATGGCTCACAAAGATAGTGAAGCTGTCCCAGGACAACAGCATCCTCACCATAGACCCCATCAGGATGGAGGATGCTGGGGATTATCACTGTGAGGTCTCCAACCGGGTCAGCTTCAGTAAAAGTGACCTCTTCAGGTTATATGTGAAATATAAGTGATCCTCTTCCCCTCCTATATGTTATTAAACTCTAAATAGAATCTTTTTCTTATCTGTAAAATGATGGTCATGATGTACTTTATTTATAGAGTTGTTGTGGATAGGCAATGGACAAAGGTGGAATAATTGAGTCAATACGTGTTCAAAAATGTGAACTGACATTGTCAGTTCTTATTCTTGTCCACAATCTGCCTGAGAATCTTGTAGGGTATGGTTGGTAAAAAGGGGAAAGAGTAGAGCCTAAACATGAAATTGCATCATATGTAGTAGACAGACAAGAAATTACCCCAGGGCCTGTACACAGTGATCAAGAGAAACTGTACCCCAATGGATCCCTGCTGTTCCAGTACATCACCCATGAGGACACAGGATACTACATCCTACAAATCATAAAGAAAAATTTTCAAAGTGAAGTAGGTTTTGGACAGCTCTGCATACACCATGAGTGATTCCTCTCTGACCTCCGGGTGGGGTGAATTCTACTTCACACACACAGGACTGACAGGCCTGGACTGTGCCTACATCCCCCTCTGCATTACATCTCAGGTTGTGGATTGAGCCTTTAGTTCAGGACACACACAGTGGAGACAAACTTCAAAAGATTGGAATTCTTTTTCTGGAATCTGGACCCTGCAGACATTCCCCACAGAGAGAAGGACCAGTCCAAGGGGAGTAACTCAGCAGAAGGAGATCAGTCTCAATCCAGCCCCCTGGGCAACCCTGGGACCATGAACTTGAGAAAGACTCAGCAGGGCTTAGTTTGGGCCTCGCCAGAGGGGCCCCCTGGGATCCTCACAGAAAACCTCAGTGCAGGAAGCCCCTGCCTAGACCCCTGTGCCAGGGCCCCTGATTCCAGTGACCAGGGCTGACTGGGAGCAATGATTTCCCAAGTGCCCAAGTTTTGAGGTTCATGTGCTGGTCACCAGCCAAGGCTCAGCCCCAAGAGCCACATCTGGGCAGGGGTGGAGCCTGCTCCTTCACCTGAGACTTGGCATGGAGAGCACAGATGGACATGGCCCCCAGGCCATTAGCCAACAGCCCTGGGGACATAAGGGACCCCAGAGGATGGTCAGCATCCCCAGGGAGAAACAGAGGACAGAAGATGCTCCTGGCAGCTCCTCATCCACCAGGGATCAGTCCCAGGGAGATCTCTCTCATGAATGCAAATAGTAATAGTTGCCTTTTATTTGGGCAGGTCCTCCACACTAAGCTTTAGGTATTTAGGGATATTTTAAGGTCAATTTACAGATAACATGATAATCCAGAGACTAGAGACCATTTACCTGATTTTATTCAGGGGAAATTAAGGCACGGGGAGATACAGTGATTGAATCAGGGTCACACAGACTATGAGTGGCATATCAGAGTCATGGCAAGATCTTAGTGAAGCCACAGCCTTAATCTCTCCACCACTCAAGGGGCCCTTTTCAGCATCTATGGACCCCAAGACCAGCCACTGGATCAGATCCTTTCCTCTTAGGGATCCACAGCTCAAGGTAGATTTTCTGGTTTGGGGATTGAGAGCAAATGGCCAATTAATATGTTTTTATTCAAGAACTAAATTACTTTCATCAACAATCAGAGTCAGTGCCAGGAATGTTCAGGCCTCCCCCTCAGGTGGCTGATCCACACCTCCCTGGACTGGACTTGAAATCACTTATCTGTTTCCTGATGTGTTGGGACCACTCCCACTGGAGTATAAAGAAAGGACTTTGCTTTCTCACTCCCCACTCTACACCTGCAACCAGCACAGGGCCCAACAACTCAATTGCTCTTTCATGAAGGAGGGAAGGAATGATTGGTGAACGAATGAATGAATGATCCGTAATCTCCTCCCAGACAGGAACCTGGATTCAGAATCCTGGGAGGTTATGGCCACATCTGTTGCCAGTCTCTCCAGGGGCTGAGACTCATGTTCCATCCCTCTGACTACCAGCCCCTAAGGCAACTCTGAGAGGAGAGTCTCATGTTGACTGTGGGGCTGCTCAGCATGGGAGGATTCTCAGGGCTGCACTGGTCCTCCCTCTGGGGCAAGCATGGGCTCTTGATCTCTGGGGTCTTTGAAGTCACTTGTAACCCCCACTGCTCACAGCCTAGGATGTTACTGGCTCTCACTGCTTCTTCCATGGCTTCCTACTCCTTCATTCCACCTGGGACTGCCGCTACTCTGCACAGCTCACTCCACCCTCAACCCTTCTCTTGATTCACTTGTTAACAGCTGTGGTCAGGCCCACCCTCCTGGGCAATAGTAAACGACGCAGAAATCAGTGGGAACAGCAGCCCCTTGAGCCTCCCGCATGAGCCAGATTTCCCAGGTCACCAGAAGAATGAGCTTCGGCTGTGCCCCACCCAGGGATCTTTCCTTACATGATGCCAACAGGTGGAACATGCCACATGACAAGGATGTGTGACCCCTCGATCTACTCTCTACATGACTCAACTAGCAAGTCAAAGGCAGAAGGACAGGTCTGCAGTCCGCGAAAACTCACAGGCTTATTCCACCCTTTTGACTCCTGACTCACATCCTCATCCTGGTGAGGCTTCCGTTCCTCCAGTGGTTCCTGAGACCTTCCCAAGGTGACACTGGTCACACTCTGCACCATCTGACTGGTATATTGTCTATTTCACACACGTAGGTCTTTTACCATAGGGTAGGATGCTCTCAGATGGTGAGATCTTTTCACTTAGACACTGCCTGGTTTGGACAAATTTGATCAAATTTGTGTTTCCTGAAGTCAAAAGAAAGCGACATGGAAGTGTTAGACCTTCTTCCCATTTTACCTGACTGTCCATATAAATTGGTGACAGAGACGTTTTTCCTAAATTTACCAACATAACACATAACATTCTGACTAATTTGGTAGCATTCCTCCCTTTATATGACAGAGACATGTGAGACTTGCCCCCTGATCATCTGTCCCCTTAACAGGACTCACAGGTCTCTCTCCCCGCAAGGAGTCACTGATTTCAAACCCAATTTAGCATCTGCCTTTGATCATAATGTGATCCTGGTTGCACTGCAGAACTTAATCTATGACCTTTAGTGCTTTCTAGAGATATTCCTCCAGAAACTGGTCTTAGATCTTTGGGGCGTTAATACTAATTTTCAATATAGCAATAATTTAACTTCTCCTCAGATTTCTGTCTCATAATTATGTTTACAAATGATCCATGAAGGCTAGATTTCCCTCCTTTTCACTGGTTACCCTTTCTGCATTTGAAAACATCCACTTATATTTCAGGAGAGGTCAACATGGTCCTCACTGTCCTCTGCAGTGAGGGAAGAGACTTTAAAGACCAAGGGCAGAGCACATGGTTCTGCTGCCAAAGCCAGTCAGCCCCCGCCTATCCCCCTCACTCTTTTCTGGATCATTTCTAGTCTTAACTCTGCTCTACCCTTTGCGGAGTCACTGTCTCATGCCAGTCACCATGGAACACCTGGGCAGACCTGCCCCACTTCATGGCCCTGCAGCATGACAATCTGTAAACACTTCTCTAAAGATTTCCTTTACCATGATATTCAATCCAGAGACCTGGAGGTAAAATGCCTCTTCAGAGTGAGAAATCCTTTAGATTGAAAACTTTTCAGTGCCTAAGGTTATGAAGACTGTGTGGGGTCATCCTCATTTAACAAGAAGTAAATGCCGTCTCTACTGTATAAAGTTCCGTCAGCCGCAGAGATGGACAGAGCTGGCAAGCCTGCCTTCCGCAACATACATGGAGGTGTATATAGGGAATAGCATCTGATCTTTTTAAAGTAAAAGAAAGTTTTAGAAAAAAGTCAATGAAAGTCCATGAGAGAGAAACTCCACTTGATGATGAAATGCTGGACATGCGGCCTGAGAAGAGTTTCCTGGTGCTGATACTACAGAGATGTCCAGGCGAACTGGTCAGGGGACATCCTGGGTGATCTGGGAGTCATAGAGGAAGTGCAGCCCTCTCTTTACAGATTGTCACCTGAATAAAGACACACAACCCTGTTCACAGAATCAGGGCCATCTTCTGTGTCACTTTTACAGAGTTCACTGGGGCCCTTGAGTGGCTGAGATGTCTGTGGAAGGACTATGGCCCCAGACCCACTCTCAGTCAGTCCCCTCCACTGTTTCTCCACAGATCCAGTGGCACAGCCCTCCATCCAAGCCAGCAACACCACAGTCACAGAAAATAAGGACACCATGGGCCTGACAAGCCTCACAAATGATACCAGGATCTCCATCCAGTGGAGATCTGGTTCTTCAATAACCAGAGTCTATGGCTCACAGAGAGGATGAAGCTGTCCCAGGACAACAGCACCCTCACCATAGACCCCGTCAGGAGGGAGGATGCAGGGGATTATCAGTGTGAGGTCTCCAACCTGGTCAGTTCCAGCAGAAGTGACCTCCTCAGCCTGGATGTGGAATTTAAGTGACCATTTGCTCCATCCTACATCTTCCTGGGAGGATGACTCTACCACTGTTGTGCAAAATGGATAGAAGTCACAGAGGGCAGAATATCAACCAAGGGACAATTACAGTAAACAAATGGCAAAATGGTTAAGAGCTCAGTCTCTGAACCAAATATATTAGGTTTCTTATCCTGTTTCTGGCATTTACTGTGTGACCTTGCACAAGATTCTTTTTTTTTTTTTTTGATGTACCGTTTTTTAATGTGGTAAAATATATACAAGATTTACCATTTTAACCATTTTTAAGTGTCCAGTTCGGTGGCATTAAGTACATTCATATTGTTCTGCAAACATTACCAGTATCCATCCAGAACTTTTTCCTCTTACTGTACTAAAACTCTGTACCCATTAAACAATAACTCCCTACTTTCCCACCCTAATCTCTGGCAACCATCATTCTACCTTATTTCTCTATAAATTTGACAATTCTAGGTACTTTGTATAAGTGGAATCAGATGATATTTGTCCTTTTGTGTCTGATTTATTTCACTTAGCATAATGTCTTCAATATGTTCCATCCATGTTGTAGCATATATCAGAACTTCATTCCTTTTTAAGGCTGAAATATATCCCCTTGTATATGTATATCACATTTTAATTATCAATCATCAGTTGATGAACTTCTGAGTTGTTTCCATCTTTTGACTATTGTGAATAATGCTGTTATGACTGTGGGTGTACAAATATCTGTTCAAATCCTTGCTTTCAGTTCTTTTGCGTGTATACCCAGAAATGGAATTGCCTGATCAAATGATAACTCCTTGTACAATTTTTTGATGAACTGCCATACAATTTTCCAAAGTGTCTGCACCATTTTACATTCCCACCAGCAATGCATAAAAGTTCCAATTTTTCCACATTCTTGCCAATGTTTGTTGTTTTCTGTTTGTTTTTTTATAGTAGCCATCCTAGTGGGTGTGAGGTGGTATTTCATTGTGGTTTTGATTTGATTTCCTTTATGATTAGTGACATTGAGAATCTTTTCATGTGGTTATTGGTCATTTGTTTCTCTTTGGAGAAGTGTCTTTTCAGTTCCTCTGACCATTTTTAAATTGGGCTGTTTTTTGTTGTATTGTTGATGTGTAATAGTTCTTTATATATTCTGGATATTAATCCCTTATAAGACATATAATTTGAAAATTATTTCTCCCATTCTGTGGGTTAACTTTTCACTTTGTTGATAGTGTCCTTTGTAGCACAAAAGTTTTTAATTTTGATGAAGTCCAATTTATCTATTTTTTCTTTGTTGCCTGTGCTTTTGGCTTCCTTTTCAAGAAATCATCGCCAAACTGAATGTCATGAAGCTTGTACTAAGGTTTTCTTCTAAAAGTTTCATAGTTTTAGCTCTCACATTTAGGTCTTTGATACATTGTGAGTTAATTTCTTGTTTATGGTGCTAGGTAACCATTCAACTTCATTCTTTTGCATGGATATACAGCTTTCCCAATACCATTTGTTGAAAAGACTGTTCTTTCCCCATTGAATGGTCTTTGTATCCTTGTCAAAAATCATCTGAACATATATGTGAGGGTTTATTTCTGGGCTGTCTATTCCATTGGTCTATATGCCTGTCTTTATGTTAGTACCACACTGTTTTGATTACTGTAGCTTTTTAGTAATTTTTGAAATCAGGAAGTGTGAGTCTTCCAACTAGTTCTTTTTCCAGATTGTTTTGGCTATTCATGGCGTCCTGAAATTCCACATGAATTTTATGGTGGATTTGTTATTTCTGCAAAAAAAAAGGTCATTGGGATTTTGATAGGGATTGCATTGAATGTTCAGATCACTTGGGGTAGTATTGTCATCTTAACAGTATTAAGTCTTCCAATCCATGAAATGGAATGCCCTTCCATTTATTTACATCTTCTTGAATTGCTTTCAGCAGTGTTTTTGTAGTTTTTCGGTGTATAAGTCTTTAACCTCCATGGTTAAGTTAATTCTTAAGTATTTCATTCTTTTTGATACTATTGTAAATAAAATTTTCTTAATTTCCTTTTTGAATTGTTCATTGGTCATGTATAGAAACACAACTGATTTTTACATGTTGATTTAGTATACTGCTGCTTTGCTGAATTTATTAGTTCTAACAGATTTTGTGAGATCTTTAGGGTTTTCTACATATAAGATCATATAATCTGAAAACAGAGATCATTTTACTTCTTCATTTCCAATTTAGATGTCTTTTATTTCTTTTTCTTGCCTACTTGTTGGCTAGGACTTCCGATACTATTTTGAATAGAAGTGGCAAAAGCAGGCATCCTTGTTTCATTCCTGATCTTAGAGCAAAAACTTAAAGTCTTTCACCATTGTGTATGTTAGCTGTGCATTTTTTTATATACAGCTTGTATTCTGTCGAGGTAGTTTCCTTCCATTCCTAGTTTGAGTAATTTTGTCATGAAAGAATGTTGAGTTTTTTCAAATGATTTTTTTTGATTCAATCTCCTTACTAATTATAGGGCTATTCATATTTTCTATTAGTTTATGATTCCATCTTGGTAGGTTTTATGTTTCTACAAATTTGTCAATTTATCTAAGTTATCCAACTTGTTGGCATACAATTATTCATAGCATTCTTAAAATTCTTATTATTTCTGTAGAATTGGTAGCATTGTTCCCACCTTCATTCCTGATTTTAGTAATTTGAATCTTCTCTCTTTTTATCTTAGTCAATCTAGTTAAAGATTTGTCAATTTTGTTAATCTTTTTTGAAAAATAAACTTCTGATTTTATTGTTTTTCTGTGCTCTACTTTATTGATCTCCACTCTAATCTTTGTAATTTCCTTCCTTCTGCAAGTTTCAGGTTTAGTTTGTTCTTCTTTTCTAATTCCTTAAGTTGTAAAGTTAGGTTGTTGATTTGAGATCTTGCTTCTTTTTTAATGTAAGTATTTACAATTATAAATTTCTTGTACAAGATTCTTAACTTCTCTGAGCCTCAGAAGTCAACTGAAAATTGCAATAAAAATACAGTTGGGGGATTGGTGTCAAGTTGGCGGCATATGAAAAATCTGAATTCACCTCCTCCCATGGACACAACAGACTTACAACTAATCTTGGAACAATTACCCCTGAAAGAGAACTGAAAACTTGATAAGAGGAACCCATGCAACACGCAACAGTCCTGACTGAGGTGGAAGAGACAGAAATTCCCTTCTGTAGAGAAAAAAAGCATCCTTCCCAAACCACAGTGCCTCAAGGCCACCAGGGAGCAATCCAAATGTACATAGCCTTCCCTGGAGGAGTGGGGGACCTGAGTGGGGACTGTTGCTGCTATAAGCATTTTTTGGACCCAGCACAACCAAGATAAGTGTCATAATATCTGGCCTTGCTGGCTACTAAAAACAAGGGGGAATATCCCCAGAAAAGCTATCAGACATAAGAAAATAAAAACAAGCCAGCTCTTAAAGGGCCTAAGCACAAATTCGCCCATCTCAGAAAGCAACCTAAAATCACCAGAAAGAAAGATGCACCGTCCTTTGGTGAAAAGAGACTCACCTGATAGGCTCTGGGTGCATCTTGGTGGGAAGTGAGACCTCTCCAGGGACTGAGACATTGGCGGCAGCCATTGTTGTTACAGGTGTGTTGACACAGTCACTGGCAGACACCATTGGAATTCTCCCCCCATCTCTCCTCCCAGGGTCTGCTCCACCCAGTAGAGTGCTGATTTAATCCAGCTCAGCCAGGGCAAGCGGCTTGCCCTAGGGACTGGCCCCACCCAACAACAAGCCCTCACGCAACTTGGGGGCCTGCATAGACTAGGTGCCTGGATTCTCTGCAGCCAGGCAAGTGGGTCCACCTCTGTGGGACAGGGCATGTGTCAGGAGCAGTTGGAGTGTGTGGAGCATTGGGGGAGTATATGGGGCATCTGCTGTGGGACAAACGGGTCCACTTCAGGGGGTCAAAGTGTGCGCGTGTGACAGGACTGTGTTGACAGTGTGTGTGGCTCTGTGGTTGGTGGGGCTTTACAGCTGCAGAAGACTTGTGCTTCTCAAACAGCCACATAGGGGATTGGCCTCACCTTCCAAAGCCTGAAACAATTGGGTGCTCCTGTGCCTGAGGCCAGCCCCACCCAGCTGCAATCCTCAGAGAGCTGACAAGAGTTTTATAGGCCAGAGGCCTACAACAGTTGTAAGCCCCTGAGCCTAACATCCAGCCATGCTGGGAGCCTACTCACTTAACAGAAAAATTGCCACTGGAATGTGCTATTCGACTTTGCAGCCAACTGTGCTGGGGCTCCCCACACCCAATAAAGAGACTGAAGGGTGCATAACAGTCACATTCGGTGGGCATTACGTCAAGCTGGCCAGGGCGACAGTTCAGCCTCCCTGGGCATCCACAGAAAGAGCAACCCTGCCACAACAGAAGGACATATATAGCCCACATGGGGTTCACTCCTGGAACATTTGGAACTGGTGACAAGATGGAAGCACATTGCTGGGCCTCATAAGACATCTCTTACATAAGTTCACATCTCCAAGATCAAGAGATAAAGCTGACCTACCTAATATATAGATACAAGCACAGAGAAAGAGGCAAACTGAGGAGGAAAAGGAATAAGTTCCAAGTAAGGGAACAGGACAAAACTCCAGAAAAAGAACTAAATGAAACAGAAATGAGCAAGCTGCCTGACATAGAGTTCACACAAAGAGTCATAAGGATGCTGCCTGATCTTGGGAGAAGAATGGATGAACTCAGTGAGAACTTCAACAAAGAAATGAAAAATGTAAAAAAGAACCAATCAGAAATGAAGAATACCATACTGGAAATGAACATTTCACTAGAGGAGCTCAAAAGCAGAGTTGAGGATGCAGAAGAATGGATCAGTGAGCTGGACTAAAGACTAGAGGAAATCACTCAAGCTGAACAGATAAAAGAAAAATCAATTAAAAAGAATGAAGACAGTCTAAGGGGTCTCTGGGACAATACCAAGAGAACTAATGTCCATGTAATAGGTGTCCCAGAAAGAGAAGAAAGAGACAAAAGGGCAGAGAATGTATTTGAAGAAATAATAGCTGTAAAATTTCCTAACCTAAGGAAGGAAACAGACATCCAGGTACAAGAAGCACAGAGAGCACCAAATAAGATAAACCCAAAGAGGCTCACACCAAGACACACCATAATTAAAATGTCCAGAATTAAAGATAAAGAGAGAATCCTAAAAGCTACAAAAGAAAGGCAAAAAGTCACATACAAAGGAAACCCCATAAGGCTATCAGCTGACTTCTCAGCAGAAACCTTACAGGCTAGAAGAGCGTGGCACGATATATTTAAAGTGCTAAAAGGAAAAAACCTACAGCCGAGAATACTCTACCTGGTAAGGTTATCATTCAAAATGGAAGGCACAATAGTTTCCCAGACAAGCAAAAATTAAAGTTTATCACCAAGAAACCAGTCCTACAAGAAATGTTAAAGGGACTTATTTAAGGGGAAAAGACAAGACCACAAATAGGAAAAAATTATCTATTTCCATGATAAGAGGGTAACAGATACAAACACACAAAAAAGAGGTTAGATGTGTTATCAAAAACATAAAATGTGAGAGGAGGGGAGTAGAAGAGGAGAGCTTTTAGAAAGAGGTCAAACTAAAGAGACCATCAACTTAATATAGATTGCTATATAGTAGGTTATTATATATGAACCTCATGGTAGTCACAAACCAAAAACCTATAATAAATACACAAAAAATTAAGAGAAAGGGACCTAAACATAATACTAAATAAAGCCATCAAACCACAAGGGAAGAGAGCAAGAGAAGAAGAAAGGAACAGGGAAGAACTACTAAAACACCCAGAAAAAAAGTAACAAAATGGCAATAAGTACATACTTATCAATAACTACTTTAAGTGTCAGTGGACTAACTTCTTCAATCAAAAGTCATAGGGTGGCTGATTGGAAAGAAAAATAGGACCCATATATATGCTTCGTATGGGAGACACACTTCAGACATAAAGACACTCACAAACTGAAAGCAAAGGGATGGAAAAAGATACTCCATGCAAATGACAATGAAAAGAAACCTGGGGTAGCAATACTTATATCAGACAAAATAGACTTTAAAAACTGTAACAAGAGATAAAGAGGGCACTACATAATGATCAAGGGAACAATCTGACAAGAGGATATAACACTTGTAAATATCTATGCACCTAACATAGGAGCACCTAAATATATAAAGCAATTATTAACAGACATAAAAGGAGAAATAGAGAGTAACACAATAGTAGTAGGGGACTTTAACACTCCACTTACACCAATGGATACATCATCCAAACAGAAGCTCAGTAAAGAAACATTGTCCTTAAATGACACACTAGACCAGCTGGACTTAGTAGATATATACAGAACATTCCATCCCAAAACAAGAGAATACACATTCTATTCAAATGCACATGGAACATTATTCAGGATTGATCACATTTTAGGCCACACAATAAGTCTCAATAAATTTAGGAGGATTGAAATAAAACCAAGCGTCTTTTCTGACCACAACAGTATGAAACTAGAAAACAACTACAGGAAGAAAACCAGAAAAGCCACAAATATGTGGAGATTAAACAAAATGATACTGAACAACGATTGAGTGAGTGAAGAAATCAAAGGAAAGAGATCAAAAAATACCTAGAGACAAATAAAAATGAAAACATGGAATGCCAGAATTTATGGGATACAGCAAAAGCGGTTCTAAGAGGGAAGTTTACAGCAATACAGGCCTACCTCAACAAACAAGAAAAATCTCAAATTAACAATCTATCAGTGCACCTAAAGGAATTGGAAAAAGAAGAACAAACATAGCCCAAAATCAGTAGAAGGAGGGAAATAATAAAAATCAGAGCAGAAATAAATCAAATAGAGACTAAAAAAAAAAAAAAAATAGAAAAAATCAATGAAACCAAGACCTGGTTATTTGAAAAGGTAAACAAAATTGACAAACCTTTGGCTAGATTCACCAAGAGAAAAAGAGAGAAAGCTCAAATAAATAAAATCAGAAATGAAAGAGGAGAAATTACAATGGACACCTCAGAAATACAAAAGATTAGAAAGGGATACTATGAAAAACTATACACCAACAAATTGGATAATCTAGAAGAAATGGATAAATTCTTAGAATCATACAACCTTCTAAAACTGGATCAAGAAGAAATAGAGAATTTGAATAGACCAATCACTGGTAAGGAGATTGAAACAGTAACCCAAAACCTCCCTAAAAAGTAAAAGCCCAGGCCCAGATGGCTTCCCTGGTGAATTCTAACAAACCTTCAAAGAAGACTTAATATCTATCCTTCTCAAATTCTTCCAAAACATTGAAGAGGAGGCAAAGCTTCCTAACTCATTCTATGAAGTCAACATTACCCTGATACCATGACCAGACAAGGACAATACAAAAAAGAAAATTATAGGCCAACATCACTGATGAACATCGATGAAAATATCCTCAACAAAATGCTAGCAAATCAAATACAATACATTAAAAAGATCATACTCTATATGACAAACCCACAGCTAATATAATTCTCAATGGTGAAAAACTGAAAGCTATCTCCCTAAGAACACGAACCAGACAAGGATGCCCACTTTTGCCACTCCTATTTAACAGAGTATTGAAAGTCCTAGCCAGAGCAATTGGGTAAGAAAAAGAAATAAAAGGGATCCAAATTGGAAAGGAAGAAGCGAAACTGTCTCTATTCGCAGATGGCATGATTTTAAATATAGAAAACCCTAAAGAATCTACCAAAAAACTTTTAGAAATAATAAATGAATATGGTAAAGTTGCAAGATACAAAATCCACATACAAAATTCAGTTGCATTTCTATACACTAACAACAAAGCAGCAGAAAGAGAAATTAAGAATACAATCCCATTTACAATTGCAATGAAAAGAATAAAACACTTAGGAGTAAACTTAACCAAAGAGGTGAAAGACCTGCACACTGAAAATTATAAAATGTTGTCAAACGAAATTGAAGAAGACACAAAGAAATGAAAAGATGTTCATGCTCTTGGATTGGAAGAATTAACATAGTCAAAATGTCCATACTTCCTAAAGCAATCTATAGATTCAATGTAATCTTTATCAAAGTTTCACAGAAATAGAACAAAGAATCCTAAAATTTATATGGAACAACAAAAGACCCCAAATATCCAAAGGAATTCTGAGAAACAAGAACGAAGCTGGAGGTATCACACTCCCTGATTTCAAGATATACTACAAAGCCATAGTAACCTGAACAGCATGCTACTGGCACAAAAACAGACACACAGACCAATGGAACAGATCAAGAACCCAGAAATAAACCCACACATCTATGGACAGCTAATTTTCAACAAGGGAGCCAAGAACATACAATGAAGAAAGGAAAGTCTGTTCAATAAATGTTGTTGTGGAAACCGGCCAGCCACTTGTAAAAAAAAAAAAAAAAATGAAAGAAGACCATTATCTTACACCATACACAAAAATTAACTCAAAATGGATTAAAGACTTGAATGTAAGACCTGAAACCATGAAACTTCTAGAGGAAAACATAGGCAGTATGCTCTTTGACATAAGTCTTGGAAGCATATTTTCAAGTACCATGTCTGACCGGGCAAGGGAAACAACAGAAAAAATAAACAAATGAGACAACATCAAACTAAAAATCTTCTGCACAGCAAAGGAAACCATCAACAAAATGAAAAGACAACCTAACAATTGGGAGAAGATATTTGCAAACCATATATCTGATAAGGTGTTAATATCCAAAATAGATAAAGAATTCATACATCTCAACAACAAAAAAACTAACAACCCAATTAAAAAATGGGCAAAAGACCTGAACAGACATTTTTCCAAAGAAGATATAGAGATGGCCAATGGGCACATGAAAAGATGTTCAACATCATTAACTATCAGGGAAATGCAAATCAAAACTACAGTGAGGGGCCGGGCCCATGGTTTAGTGGTTAAGTGCACGAGCTCCACTACTGGCTGCCTGGGTTCGGATCCTGGGCACGCACTGATGCACCGCTTCTCTGGCCATGCTGAGGCCGCGTCCCACATACAGCAAGTAGAAGGATGTGCACCTATGACATGCAACTATCTACTGGGGCTTTGGGGAAAAAAAGGGAGGAGGATTGGCAATAGATGTTAGCTCAGAGCCGGTTCACCTCAGCAAAAAGAGGGGGATTAGCATGGATGTTAGCTCAGGGCTGATCTTCCTCACACACACAAAAAAAAATCTGCAGTGAGATATCACCTCACACCCGTCAGAATGGCTATAATTAACAAGACAGGCTACAACAACAAAAGCTTTGTACAGGTTGTGGAGAGAAGGGAACTCTCATACACTGCTGGTGGGAGCGTAAACTGGTGCAGCCACTATGGAAAACGGTATGGATACCTCAAAAAATTAAGAATAGAACTTCTATACGATCCTGCTATTCCACTGCTGGGTATTTATCCGAAGAACATGAAAACATAAATGCAAGAAGATACATGCTCCCCTATGTTCACTGCAGCATTATTCACAGTAGCCAAGACTTGGAAGCAACCTAAGTGCCCATCAAGGGATGAATGGATGAAGAAGATGTGGTGTACATATATATACACATACAATGGAATACTTTCAGCCATAAGAAACGATGAAATCCAGCCCTTTGTGACAACACAGATGCACCTCAGAGTATTATGCTGGGTGAAATAAATCAGAGGGAGAAAGTTAAATACCATATGATCTCACTCATAAGTAGAAGATAAAAATAACAACAAACAATCACACAGAGACAGAGACTGGATTGGTGGTTACCAGAGGAGAAGGGGGGTGGGAGGAGGGCAAAAGGGATAATTAGGCACATGAGTGTAGTGATGGATTGTAATTAGTGTTTGGGTGGTGAACATGATGTAATCTACACAGAAGCTGAAATATAATGATGTACACCTGAAATTTATATAATGCTATAAACCAGTGTTACCACAATTAAAAAGAAAAAGAATAAGTTGGCACTCAGTATCCACAGGTTCCGCATCCATGGGTTCAACTAAGAGCAGATTGAAAGGCCTACTGTGGTTGTGTCTATGTTGAATATATGCAGACATTTTTTCTTGTCATTATTCCTTAAACAATATGGTATAAGAGCCATTTATATAATATTTACATTGTATTAGGTATTATAATTAATCTAGAGATGATTTAAAGTATACAGGAGGATGTGCATAGGTTATATGCAAATACTACACTATTTTACATAAGGGACACGAGCATCTGTGGATTTTGGTATCTGCGGGGGGCTCCTGGAAACAATGCCCCATGGATGCTGAGCAACAACTGTATCTGCTTCCTGGCATTGTTCTAAAGATTTAATGTAATATTCAATTAAACCTTTAGCAAAGTGCTACACACAAAGGACATGTTCCATAAGCATTAGCTGCTATTATTACTGCTATTATCTTTAGCCTCTGTGAAATCATGCAGTCCTAGAGTCAAGGACTACCTGACTCTATATCCACCTTTTACTAGAAATATGACTTCGGGTAAGTTCTCTCACCACTGTAAGTCTCAATTTTTTCATCTGTAAGATGAAGATTATGTCTATCTGACAGTGTTATTATATGAATCAAATGAGATATATGTAGAGTATATAGCACAGAGCCTGGCACATAGTAAGAACCTCATAATAATTGCTAACATTAGCATTAATCATCAGTCTTGAATTGACATGTGAGGGCAACAGAAATAGAAAAGAAGAAACAGATGCAAAATGTAATATATATTGGAGAGGAGGGGAGGTATAACACAAAAAACCCACTGGGACATGGTTACTGACTAAACATATGAGAGAAACAAAGCAGTTGAGTGCAAAGTTTCACGTGTGGTATGTTAGATTTCATCCCAAGATGCAGCCAACACGGGATTAGACATACAAAACATTTGTTGGGGAAACGCTTGTAAAGGAAAGTGGGGCAGGAGTAGGAGGAGCCTGGGAGATTTTTCAGACCATGATGCAGATCTGATCCCTGTGAAGGAGAAAGAGAAGAGAGAAAGCTTTAGGTTGCAGTGCAGTTCTAAGAGAGTGTCTACAAGGCTGACAGGGTGTCCTTGAGCTAAAGTCACTCCTCAGAGGAAAATAATTTCTTGCGGAATTGAGATTGCTTTTATATCCCTGGGGGGAACCTGTGGGAAGCGTGGTCTCTCTGCAGTGAACAGTGAAGGTGAATGGAGATGGTGCATTCAGACTGCATTAGCCCAGGCCTTCTGTCAATTAATTCCCACCACAAAAGACCTGAGAGGCACATCTTCACGGCTGCCGCACCTGGTACATAGAAAAAGATGCAACCATGAAAATGTGGGAAGTTATAACATACAAAAAGACCCATCAGCCTTTCTCACATTTCCAGAGCCTTCATAAACATCTGAGTACAGAAAGGCCGGGATGCAATTGAGGCAAGTCTGACCACCAACTTAGAAAGAAATACAGTGAGAGGAAAAAATTTACAAGGACATAGTCAGCTAATCACCCCACAGCAACCTTCCCACAGAAAATTTATTCCTTGAAGGAACAAGCAGAGACTATTCCATGTTGAGAGTTGTTTACCAGGGCACCTCCACTGTAAAATAATGTCACCTACACTCATTCTCTTTTCTTTCCATGACAGATGTTCCAACACAAGGAAGTTCTGGCCTCTCAGCAGGGGTTATTGCCTGCATCGTGATTGGAGTGCTGGTCGGTATAGCTCTGATAGCAGCCCCGGTGTACTTTCTGTATATCAGAAAGACTGAAGGGTATGATGGCCTTTCCTCATTTTCCGCTTTCTCCAAGGCTAACCACCATGCTTGGGAGAGGGAAGGAGCCTTCAACTCTGTCTCTGGGCCTGGATGTGCTCCTCTTCCTTCCTAAACTCCTGCTTCTCAGCACTAATTCCTGCAGGTCTCTTCTTCCCTGGTCTTCCTGCCTCCTGTACCCTGCTGTCTCTTGGACATGGTTATTCCCATCCCCATCAGGTTTAGATGGGGCAGATAGATTATGTTCCTCTGCCCTCCAGTCAGGGAAGCCAAGGTCCAAGAAGGAAAACAAGTGAGGAAATGAAAGGAGGGGCAAGAGAAAGTGAGTTGTGTGCTCTGTCTACCATAGGAGCAGGAGGGAGGGCTAAGACAGGAAGAGAACCTAAGAAAAAGTGGAAACAAACAGATGCCTCTTGGGCAAGAAATAAAGTGAGAAAAAAACAGCATCTACCTACTAAAGGGGAAAGGCGTCAGGGTAGAAGTAGGCTCAGAAGCAGTTGATAAAGAATGGACCTAAATGTAAACATCCAGCAAACAGGAAGGAGTAAAGACTAGAAGGAATCACGGGTAGACTGAGGAAGGAGGCCCTCAGAGGAAAGGCAGTACCCACTATGGTATAAATGAACATTGAAGGGTACCGAGGAATTATCTGCTGACAATGTCCTCCTCATTCAAGGAGCAAAGATCCTATGCTCTGGAATAGCAGTCACAGTGTCTGATATTCATTTAGGGCAAGTGACCAGTGTGATCTCACAGATCACAAACCCTCAGCCTCCAACCACAGTAAGTAAAGTCACTCACGTAGTGAGAGCTGGTGTGTTCCACCACGTGCCCTGCCCTAGCAGGGAATCCTGGATTCCCAGCCATTCCCTACCTTCTGAATTTTTAGAGAGGATCTCCACTTCCCAACCTTAAGTTGACATAGGTCCTCACACCCTTCCTAGCCACAAAGATTCCCCTGGGACACAGCCCTGGGAGAGATGCTTACTCTGCCTAATCCAGGCAGGTCTGAGTAAGATGGACATGTTTCCAAGAGCCATTTCCTCATCCTCCTCCTTCCCCCCGCTGCTGCTTTATGGATGTGGGCATTCTCCTTTGGTGAGACATTCCCTGTCTTGTGGTGCTCTGGGTGCTGTGAGCCTCAATGCCCTGCCGGGCCACTGAAGCCTATTATTTAGAAACACATCAGGGAAAAAATCAAAGCCTTGGGTCCTGGAAAAAATCTTCAGAAGTAGATGGAGGCCTCCTGTGGCTCTACTCCTGCCCCTCCTCTTGTGCTAATGTCCTGGGTCTGGACCACACACTCTGGATAGCCAATTCCTTAAGTGATCATGGGCCATCTCCCCACTCCACCCTCTCACCACCTGCCACCTCCTTCAGCTAGAAATCACAACAGCTTAGGAGCACCATCATTCTAAGGCCATAAGTCAGCTTTTGCATATTCATGGGTCGGTAACTCTTCTTTTGCTTCCCCAGGTCAGGCCACTCTGACAACTCCCCTAACAAGGTAAGCACAGCCAGTGTCACTGGTTCACTTTCTCATGGACATATCTCTGTGTAGAAGGGGTTATTCTTGAAGACATCAATGCGAGACCAGGTTTGGGTCTAAGTTCCTCAATGCAGCAGCAAACAAGGAAGTGTTGGTAACAACTCCCGTGAGTCTACCTCATTGCAAGTATGTGAACTTTGGAATTATCCCCATCCTATGTTTGAATCCTGGCTGAGACTCTTAGTAGCTCTGTGACCTTGGACAAGTAGCTTACCCTTCTTGATCCTCAGCTTTGTCATCTGTAAATTGGCATGCTGCCTACTTCAAAGAGAAGCTGAAGGAATTATGTGAAATACACATGTACAGCATCCAGCACAGTGCCCAACACATAGAAGGCCTCAATCATTTCCCCTCCTCTACCTTCACTCTGACTCTGCTCTTACTGTCAAAAGATAATTTCCATTCTAATGGGTCTGAGGTCTTACTTCCTTTACTTGATAATAATTTTATCAAATTTTTCTCATCTTAACCTTTCCACAGTGTTCACATATATACCGAAAAGTGTTTAAATCATAAGTATATTTTAACAAACTATGAATTTTCACAAGTTAAACATACCCATGTAAGCAGCACCAAATCTAGAAACAAAACATGTCATCCTTCCCCTGAAAAACACTCCAGTTACTTCCCTCCAAAGAGTACCCACTATCCTGACCTCCGATGCACTAGATTAGGTTTGCCTGTTTATGCTTGTCTGGCCACAGGGCCAGCTGGGTGAGCAGTGTGGGGTAGGTTGCAGAGAGACCAAAAAAAAAAGAACCAGAGATGGTGAATGAGACACATAGGTTTATTGGGAGTTACTTACAGCGATGTCCAGCGGTGGCTAGCTGGACAGAAATGTGTACCCGCTACCACAGGCAGGGAGAGGTTGCTTATATAAGCAGGGGACACAAAGGCTATATGCTTGCCAAGTGGGGCTGTCCCTGGTACAACCAGCATTCCCAGGAAAAATAGCTCATGGGAAAGGGCTCTGTGTCCCTTTAAGACATGATGTTTTTTGAGTGAGATAAGGTAGGATCCAGGATGCCCAGGCCCTGGATTGTTACAAATCCCAGCAGCTGGGCCTTCTGCCCAGAAGGGAGCCAGAAGGACACATGGTTGCAATGGGCGTGTGGGCTCTGGCTGAGTAAGCAAGGCCCAGGGCCTACAATGCTCTTACATAAATGAAAGACACAATACATCGTTATATGTGTCTGGCTTCTTTCATTCAAACTTATTTTGTGAGATTCATCCACACTGTTGTATGCATACGTAGTGTGTTCATTCCTGTTGCTGTATCATCTCTCGTATTCCATTCTACGAATACCATAATCTCTCTCTTCCAATGATCATTCACAGGGTGTTAGCAAGCAGAGATAATGGGTGATAAAAGCCCTTCTCCAAAGCTAAAAGTTTCAAAGTGGTGATAGCACGTGGTACTAAATCACACTAGACTAGGTGAGGGCCCGATCTGTGACACTGATTTAACTGACCGCTGCTCCTGCCTTTCAGGTCCATGAAGTTGCATATTCTTCCCTGAACTTCAATGCCCAGGAATCAAAGAAACCAACTTCAGCCTCCCCATCCCCATCAGCCACAGGAAGAGTTTATTCAGAAGTAAAAAAGAAGTAACACAACCTACTCCACTGGCTGCACTGCGCACTTACTCCAAGCTTCTCATCCCCATCACTAGAAGGATCCCTTTACCCTCAGGGAAAAGGGGAAGAAAACTCCTTCCCCTCCTCTTAACTCCCAAATGAGGCACTTCCAGGCTGCCTGGTCACAGCCCCTCCCTTCAGTGTCAATACTTGAAAAGGCACATCCGGGAGTCTGTAGGAAACCAAACCTTCCTAATCTTTGAAATTTGGCAAAGCAGACATTGCGAGAGAGTTGCCAGAACCTCCCGCCCCTCCCCCTCTCGCGACCTAGACTTGTTTTAAACTTGCCTATTCAGAACACACTCATTCCTTCCCACCCCAGTCGTGTCATATCTGAGTCTAACTTGAATTTGCCATAAGCTTGGGGGTTAGGTCCTTATCCACTAAAATGCATGTGGCAGAAAAGAACAGAGAAAAAGTAAAAGCTTCTCCTGTCTCTCCAAAGCTCAGGGTGAACCCACCAGACACAGGAAAACAAATATAGAACCAATTCTGAACTGGGAAATTCTACAGCTTTATGCATTGTTAGGGTGTCTACCTGTAGGACCAGGGCCTAAGAACCTTGCTGCTTAGCGGAATACCACCTGAGCCCTTTGGCAAGCCAATCTTTAGAGAACTCACTAGAAACAACTAGGAAAGCTATTTGCCAAGGTCCAAATGGAAAAATGTAAAAAAAAAAAAAAAATGCACACACGTTTTAATCACTTTATGGGCTTTATTCAAATAAATGCCCACAGACGGAGGGGTTACAGCTTTAGGGAGCAGTCAGCTGTTAACAATTTGTTGGGTTTTGGGAAACCAGTCAGAGAGCTACCCTTCAGAGATTATTAAATAATTGTTAAAGAATGCACGATTTTGGGTATTGAGTTTTTTCCCTTTTCTCTGAGATGTTCTGCCATTTTAATTTTTGTAACTGTTTATTTATGTGAGAGGGGTTATTTTTACTCAGCTTAGCTGTGTAAGCCAATCTGTCTGCCTTAGGTGAAAGAAGCCACCAAAATCCCTTGAGTCCCCTTGCCCAGGAGTTCCTCAAGGCTTCCATGTCAGGGGCTCCAAATAGAAAAGAAGAAGAAGCTGTTTTCTTCATTCATGGCTAGAGATGGATCTAACTCAGTTTCTAGGATCTCAGACCAATCACCAGCCACCGTTCTATCCCATGTGTCTGCCTGTGCATGTTCTGTCTGTCTGCCCCACTCACTTTCTTGGGAAACCCTGGCCCTGCTAAGGTGCATTTGGTCTTTGAGAAGTGGGAGCACCCTGAAGGGAACACTATCACTCATGCCCTTGGCATTGTTTACAACCCAGAAAGCTGCACTGGTGCTGATGCTCCTTAGGACACAAGGGGAATATTATAACTGGGCCTTAGGATTCTTGAAGAGCCTCTGAAATTTGTTTTCTCTCATGGGGTCTATGCATCCCAATGTGTCTTAGGATAAAAGGAAGGGCAAGAGAAGGAGAGGCGAATGTACTTCCCACCCTGCCTTCTTCTGTACAGATGGAATCTCCTTGGGGCTGTTGAGAGAAAGGTTTTATTCGATACTGATTACTTGTTCTCATGCTGTGTCTGAGTGGCCCCCTCAAAGAGGGTTAGTCAAGAGTTCTCTGTACTCAGGTACCTCTTTCAGGATTTTCTAACAGATTGTATATACTTCCCCTCATTCATGCTATTCTGTGTTACTTAATTTTGTCTGGCTAAGGACACTTCTAAATTATTTGTAAAATGCACTCTATATTTATAATAAAAATTATACATCAGACAACAACATGCTGCCTCACAGTTGATACTACTTTAGACAATATCTTCTTTACAGGCAGAAGAAAGAGAAATTGCTTAACTGGGTGTCAGAGTAAACCTATTTCCAAGGCTACAGATATTTGATCCAGTGATCAGAGAATTAGGTAAATTCCTTTGCACATCTGCTAACAAAGTGGATCTACCTAGAACCAACAGGACACAGCTCCAACCTGCCTGAAAGAAAATGCCTGTCTTCCTCTCAGAAAGAAGACGATTTCATGAGGAAAAGATGTCCCACCCTCTTTCTTAGGGACAAGTAACCCTTCCCACACAGGTGGCTCCAGTGAATCAGATGCAGCAAAACAGCTTTCACTCACAAGCGTCTCCAACAGTTCAGTCACATAGAAATCTCTCCAGCACCTTCTCTCTTCCTGTCCCCAGTTCCTTTGTGCTGCCCCCTCAGAGGATCAGATCTCCTCTGACCTGAATAAACTTCATTTATTAATTGCACTAAGGATTAACCTATCATCTCACTTCCTTCACTTCCAAGCAATTGAAACATGTGTGCTGTCTTTCCCCTTCCTCATCACTCATTTCTGGCCCTCTGCCGTAGCGTCTCCAGACACAAGACTGCTACAAGCAGCATAAAATAAGTATCTATCTCTTGGCCAAACTCAAAGGTATTTTCACCATCCTCACATTGTTCACTTTTACAACATCTAAGACCACAGACAACTTTTTCCTTCTTGGACACTCTCCTCCTTCCATCCCCACCGATGCACTGCACCCCCACACCAGATTTAGTACTCAGACCCTGCTTGTCTCCCTCCACCACCTTCTTTCCACAGCTCAGTGACCTCTCTGCAGATGCCTCCTACATCTCTATCTCTACACATGCGCCTTCCCAGAACTCATGACACTCACATCCAAATACCTTCAGCCCTTGCTCTTTTGTTTCCCAGATTCAATACATCCTCAAAGCCTCGATTCTTTTTTAATATCCCTCAGTTGTGTTGTTCTCTCCATTCCCATAAACCTGAATAACAGAGGCCCTGAACAACTCTGCTGCTGGAAGTACAGATTGACATCGTGTGTCAGGTCTCTTCACTGAAATCTTCCTTGCATACTACTGCCTCATTACCTTCCTAAAAACTGATTCACTCTCCTACTCAAGAATCTACAGTGGCCTACCCTGGCCTTCCAGGTAAGTTCATATTTCTTCCTCTATACTAACACTTCTTAATTTCTTTACCACTGCTCTCTAATATATTTCCTCCATTCTAATTAGATCTGTCTCCCTACCCATCCCTGTCCCTCCACCCCGTATAAACATATAGTTCTTAGTCCCAATGATATGCCTGAAAACAAACACCAAACAGGGCAATGTTCTCCCTGTTCTCTCACAGAGGAGTTACCCACACATGTCATCACAAGCAACAACTCTGACCCTGAGGAGGACGAGGACCTGTAGCATTTACGTGTGAACCTGAGACTCAGGACACAACCTACCTGTGGTTGATAATCTTTTCCTAATGACCAGCTCCTGTGTTCATGAAATCCTATTGAGCACCTACTGTGCTACAAGTCTCAGTGTTCGACCCCAGGAAAGATACAGAAATGAGAAAGGTAGGGTCCCTATCTCAGGGAACATAACACCTAAGACAGGAGATAAGACATGAAAAATTATTATAATACAAAAATAGAAATGGATAAATGACACAAGAGAAGACAGAGAGAAATACAATGGGAAATATGGGATACATTAGAATGAGTGGGAAAAATTTAAAAACAACTGATACTCAGGCCCCACCCACAGATCCTGATTTAATTGATGTGGAGTAGAACCCAGGCAATGGTAGTTTTTCAAAGCTTCCCAGATGCTGTTAACATGTAGCAAGGATGGAGAACCTCTGCTGTAATAGGTAGGACTTGACCCTAAAAGCAGTGGTTTTTAGCTAGGACTATGAATCAGAATTACCTAGAGACCTTTTTCAACATATGTAATAAGCCTATAAACCATCCCTGAAGAAGCTGGTACAGTATGTCTGGAGTGAGACTTGGGCTTGTGTATTTTGAAAAACTCCCAGGTGATTCTCACATATATTTTATGTTAGGAAACACTGACCTAAAACAGGTAGGACTGAAAAACTGGGGAGTTAGGAGAACATTCCATGAGATGGGCATGAGATGAAAAATCTATTCTGCAAGGCACAGAGAAGTACTCAAAAAGAAACTATTGGCAAATAGCTAAACTTTAAAGTACCAAGTGTTGTGCCGATGGGAAACAACTGGTATTCTTACACATTGCTGGTGGAAATATAAAATGGCACAACCACTCCGGAAAAGAGTTCGGCATTTTCATACAAAGTTACATATACTCATACAGCACAGCATTCTCACTCCTAGGTATTTACCCAAGAGAAATGAAAATAAATATCCACACAGAGAGTTATACACGAATGTTCGTAGCACCATCATTCACAGCAGCCAAAAAGAGGAAACAACCCAAATATCCCTCAACATGTGAGTGAATAAACAGATGGTGGTATATCCATACAATAGAATACTAATAAGCAATAAAAGGGGCACAAACTACTGCTAAAACAAGATGGATTACTCTCCAAAATGTTATGCTGTGTGAAAGAAGCCAGACACAAAGGAGCACATACAATATGATGCCATCTAAATGAAGTTCAAGAATAGGCAATAGTAATTAATCGTGTTAGAATTCACCATAGGGGGTGGAATTAACTACAAAGGTGCACAAGGGAGCTTTTTGGGCTGATGGAAATGTGCTACAACACTTTTCAGGTGGTGATTACATGGGTGTATACATTTACTAAAAAACTACTGTACACTTAAGATCTGTGTATGCTTTTTGGTGTATTTTAAATTTCCCTTGATTTTTAAAAATAAAATAAACAAAGGAGCAGCTAATGCAGTCTATCAGATACAAAGCACCTGTATTTTCTATTTTTGCAAGACAAATTACCACAAATTTAGGGGCTTAAAACAACACCCATTTATTAGCTCAGAGAATTCAGTTCTTTGAAGTTATAAGACCAAGGTCCCCATTGTCCTGCTAGGGACTGATCTCAGTTACTACTGGATGCTCTGGGGTCCTAGCCATGAGGCCCCTCCATCTCAGCAATGGAGAAATCCCTTAAATCGAATCTCTCTGATTTCCCTTCTGACACCAGCTGGAAAAAACTGCCTGCTTTTAAAGGGCTTGTGTGATGGGCCGGCCCGTGGCTTAGCAGTTAAGTGTGCGTGCTCCGCTGCTGGTGGCCCAGTTCGGATCCTGGGCGCGCACCAATGCACTGCTTCTCCGGCCATGCTGAGGCCACGTCCCACATGCAGCAACTAGAAGGATGTGCAACTATGACAAACAACTATTTACTGGGGCTTTGGGGAAAAAAAACATCAAAGGGGGAGGATTGGCCATAGATGTTAGCTCAGAGCCAGTCTTCCCCAGCAAAAAGAGGAGGAGTAGCACGGATGTTAGCTCAGGGCTGATCTTCCTCACACACAAAAAAAATAAAAATAAAAATAAAAATAAAAATAAATAAATAAATAAAATAAAGGACTTGTGTGATTAGATTAACACAACTCAGATAATCTCTCTTTCTGTTAAACTGAAAGTTAACTGCTTAGTAACCCTAGTTACATCTGCAAAATCCCTTTGCCACATAAGATAACATAATCACAGGCACGCTATTTCATCATATTCACAGTCAGGATTAGGGGTAAATCTTGGGGTACCATCTTAGAACTCTGCCTACCACAGCACCGTATGAAAGCTGTTCACGCTCTCGGGGAGCTCATTCAGGGTCCTGTTCTGATGAAACAGCAAAGAAGCCAAACATGGTCAGTCCAAACTCAAAGTGAGACCACAGAGACTAAGGACAA